TTTTAGAAGATCAATAAGTATTTGTGCATTCTGACTCTCCACCTTTCTTCATGTCCCAAGCCTCTCTCTTTTTCTCCAGGTATTTTTTCAGTTCTTGTTCTGTTCCATCTCTGCAGGGACTTCCTCCAACCAGCTCTGTCGAGTTGGACAAATCAATCACTGCTGTCTTGCTTGTTCCCTAGACTCACCACCCTTGCCTTGGTCAGTGCCTTCAACTTGGCACTAGTCAATCCTTTGGTTTGGGGGTTGAGTTTTGTTGGCTGATCTCCTCAAGGCACTGATTTTGAATCTTCTAATTTCCAAATCTCTACTTTCAATGTTTGAACTACCTGTTGAAGCCACCTCCAAGGTCTAGGGAAGACAGATAGAACTGGGATGGTTCTGTAATTTGCAAGCTGTGCAGAATGGGATACTTAACCTCTCTGAGATCCATTCATTTTCTCATTATCGAACCTCTCTAATGTGTCAGGCAGTGATCCAGAAAGAGAGGATATGACTGTCATGGAAGATATCTTGAAGCTAACATTCTAGAAGGGAAAGACAGGCAACTAGAAAGCCAGGAAAATATCAGATCATGGTGGGCATGATTCATACAGGATGGCATGGCTCTTCTTCACCTGCTGTTATTACTGGGTCTTATACATTATTTCCAATTTTCTTCACAGCATTGCAATTATTCGTTTGTATATTTATTTCTTCCTTTTGAATCCAAATTTATGAAGAGAAGGGAGTTTATCTTTTTACCGGTAATTTCCAATTTCTGTCTAGCATCACCTAGAGTGAATCTGCTCAATAAACGCTTGTTCACACTTTGAATACCATCTTTACTCTCGGCTTCATCTTATTTTTCCCTGGTCTTGTTTCTTTTATTCCTGATTTCTCAGCACACCTGTAAAAATGCATGTATCAAGATGAGTGTGGTGGTGCATGCCTGTAATCCCAGTGGCTTGAGAGGCTGAGACAGGAGGATCACAAGTTCATGGCGAGACTCAGCAGTTTATCAAGGCCCTAAGCAATTTAGGGAGACCCCGTCTCAAAAAAAAGAGAGTTGGGGATGTGGCTCAGTGGTATAGCACCCCTGGGTTCAATCCCCAGTAATCCTCCCCCCCAAAAAAACCATATATTAGTGGGAAGGGTACTGGAGAGAGACAGGATGAGGATAGAATAAGAAGATACACAGTGTACACATGTATGGAAACATCGTCCTGAGTCCCATTAATGTGTACAATCAACACATTAATACTTAAAACATAGAATGGCTGTATTTTTATAAACCATGTAAATCTTTCTGGAGTAAGGTGAATTGGTGTAAGTAAACAGTGAACAAACAAGCAAGATAATTAAAAGATGTCAAATGGGAAAATGTGTGCATTAATAATTCTATAAGCCAAAGTTCAACAAAGCTTGAGCTTGGAAACAACCTATTATGACCTCAGACAAGGAGTTTATCATTGCTGAGCCCTAGTTTTATCATCTCAAAAATAGGCTTAATGATGTCTGCATCATCTCCTGTAAGGAACTGATGCTATAAGGAATAGAAAGGACTTTGCATACAGTAATAATAGCCCATCTCTTTGCATGCTTACTTTGAACCAGTGCATATTTATTAAAGACATGGGCACAGAGTGATTGATCAACCTGTCAAAATGTGATATGCAATCCAATGTTCTCAATCATTATTCCAGACATTTAGGAACACAAAGTAGGCACTTGATAAAAGGTAGCCAACATTAGTATTGCTTATTGTTTTTCACTGCATTATCTCATTAGCAATATTGAACAACCCATAGAAAAGCATTTTATGAAAACCAAAGCACCAGATCACCACTCCTATTGTGGAGCATTATGAAGGAATGTATGCTCTTGTGTGTCAGGGATGGTTTCTGTTTGGTTTGGTTGCCCTGGTATAAGAGCAACCTTCCTCCTTTACAAAAATGTCTCAATTTATATAATCACTCTATCCTGAATGATTCACATCCAAAGTCAAGTTTGTGCACAAGCCAAAAGGAGGAAAGAGGAAGAAAGGAAAAGGCACGGCAGGTTCATTCTGTAAACATGTCTTCCTGCTCACGAACACACCCTCCAAAGAGGCTTTGATTTATGTGTCCTGATTCATGGCAATTGGAGGCGTGGAAGATTTGTCACCTTGGATTTTGAGGGTCTAATTATTTACACTCTAAAACTATGTCTTCACCTCTGAGGAATGATAGAAGGATGGAATGTGAGGGATCATGTTAATGGGAGTGCTACAAAAATCAATGGCAGGATCAGGGATGGGAGCCATTTAATCTCATTTCTGCAGCCCAAGATGCCAGCACATCCGTCTTTCTCAAGAGTATGCACACAGCTCTATTAGGTGCCGGGCAGGCTATAATTCTACTGTAATTGCAATAGCATTATAAATTATCATCATAACACCATGGAGTGAGTGCACTTGAGCTGTGGTTCATGGCTCTGTGTTTTCTCCATGTGCAACCATTTATTTTTGGAGATGGTACAAGGGGCTGTGAGCATAAATATGTCCACATCCCCATGTCACATGATTAGTCTTCTGTCTGCTTCTGTGATCAGCTTTGTAAGATCCCACAATGAATTGAGAAAAGGGAGCCCTATGTTGTACTCAGCCTCACAACTAACTAGCTATATAACCTTGCAAAGGTCACGTTTTCTCCTGTAATTTCATGGTATGCAAAATAAATGCATTGAATTGAATGGCAGACTTCCGAATCTTAGGCATTTTCTTACTGCCTCATTTTGGGGGGGTCCATTTTGTGTATTACATATATGATTCAATTTTTTAAAAAGTGTTTGCCTATGCATAATACAAGATCATTGGAATCACAGTGTTATGTAAATAACATCCATGTTGGTAAGAGATGAAAGTAGTTTTCTCCACTTTTGACTGTTTGGGTGATAGATAGAGACAGAAAGCACAATGTTTTCTTTTTTATTAGATGCAGTTGCAGTCTTTTCTTTGGTTTCTAAACATCCCAATCTAATTCATTGTCACTCTCATGAGGTCTGCTGCCACGTCCTGGCTGTCACATAGCTGACACATAGCAGACACTCAGAAAGCACTCTGACGACCTGTCCTGCATGCATCCTCCTCTGGCTCCCATGCTTGAGAGCCCAGCATGATCTCCAAAACACCCCAAGTCTCCAGCTGTTTCACCTCCCTCCCAGGGCCAACCCTGGGCAGGCAGACATTTGGGATTCAAGACTTCCTTTTCTTTTGAGATTCAGTTGCGCATCTGTCCTTCAGGTCAATCCACGCTACACCCTCTCTTCCTGATCATGGGATCCATACCACGCCGCGACTTTCTGATCCTTCACTCTTCTTTTTAGAGACTTAAAGTTAGATAACAAATCAGGAAAGGAAAATTTCTTCTTGAAAGTACCCTTCCCATTCTTTGACGCAATATGTGTGAAGTCTTTCTCCCTTGAACTTTAAGTAAAGGAAACACACATCCTTTCTATAGCCTTTAAGTTCTCAAGGACAGTCTTTCTGCCCTAGAGCCTTTGGTGCTTACCATCCAGTCTGCCTTGGCTATTCGAACGTCCTTCTCCCTGCACATCTTCCAGGTCTGTGTGTCACCACGCATGGACTCCTTCCCTGACTAGCCTGCCCAGGTTCTAGCCTGCTGCAGGTTCTTTCTGGCTTTGGATGCCATGGATTACACATCTGTATCCTGGTTTTTCTCAAAATGGAAGTCGAAGGCTTCAAAATAATTTTTAAAGTTATTCTTGCTGCTGTCTTTGAAGAGAAGTGAAAAATTGACTATTGCATTATGTTCACATGAGAAATAGTTGTTCCTTATTTTTGACTATTTTGATTTTCATTACAACTCTCTAGAGAACAGATTGGGCAAGTTCTGAAGTTTTCATGTTCTGAGTTTCTGAAGTACAAATATGTGGGGCTTTTCACTCCAGGACTGGGGCTAGATGTCTGCTGAGTCGAACATCTTCTTTTACCCAGGGGACTATAAGAGAGTTGCCTAGGAATAGAGGCATGAAGATTACTGAAATATTACTTATGTCCAAAAAGAATTCGTTTTAAATTCCAGAATTCAGTCTTGCGAGCACTCTTGCTTTCTAGAAAGTGAAGCTTACTTATGGCCACACAGCATTACATCACAGCGGGTGCCTCTTGCCTGATGTATCACTTGAAAGATAAAGAAATTGAGGGAGGAGTTTGAAACTGACTCACACAAGACTTCAAGCCAGAGGCGTAGGGGGGTCAGGTTCTGGGGTACACCAGTGGGCAGGGAGGCGGTGTTGCCTGCACCGCTGTGGCTCTCTCTGTCTTACTTTTGCTAGAGGTTGAAGTGGTCATCTAGGTGAGGAGATACCTGTACACAGGACAGCCCCACTTGTCATTCTGCACTACTCCAACACAACTGCAATGTGTTCATCGCTTAAGTCTCTTTCTTCATGGGGCCAAGCAGAGAAGCACGGTTTTGTGTCAGGGCTTCAAAAGTAGATAACACTCCTCAGGCCTTGGTGACCTATGTCCTTCAAATCCCAACTCCAGCCAAATCACCAAAGAACTGAACTAAGTGTAACAAAGTGCCACTTGACTTCTCATCCGCCATTTTCTTTTGTATAAACCCCTCTCTCGGGGAATGATAAGAAGGGGTGTCTGGGGAATATAGACCAAAATAAGGGGAAAAGAGTGGGGCCCCATAAAACAGAAGGGGGAACAATGGAGTAGAGGAAAGGGAATGAAGGAGGAGGGACAGGTAAGGGAGGAACAGTAGAACGAAAAGAACCAAAGTGTCCTAGGTACGTATGTGACTATGTCACAGTAAGTTCACCTTCATGTGTATCGATAATGCACTTGTTTAAAAAATGTTTCAATACACAGAAGTATAGACAGGAGGGTGAGTGAATGGAAGGAAATGCTTAGAGGAATAGAGGAATGGGAATAGCAGGTGGGAGGAGAGGAGGGAAAAGGGAAGTACTGGGTACTGAATTGGAGCAAATTATATTCCATGCTATATAATTATGTTAAAATGAGCCCCAATATTCTATGTAACTATAATAAATTAATAAAAAAGCCAAAAACAAAACAAAACAAGCAGAAAGACACAGGGTAGCTGGGCCACGGAGAGCATTGGTGTTGATGGATTCCAGAAGACCAGCGGTAGTAGCCCCCAACTCCCCACAATCCCAAAGAGAAACAGTCAATATATTTTGCTGCTGCCTGTCCTGTTCTTTTCTCCACTTAGGAAAGCTATGGAGAAGTCACTCTCTTCCTGACTGTGTGAACAAGTGCGGTTTAGCGAGGCACTAGGAGACACTATCCTCAACTTTAATTGCAGCCGCCCCGTAAGTACTTAAGCAAAATCATATGTTTATCACTTCCCAGGATTTTTAAAGTGCGAGTTCAATCTGTGCTGCAGATGCTTTTTAAGATGTGCTGTACGCCGGCCAGGCTGACTTTGGGAGTGCTTAGATCATGACTGCGTTCACAGCGTGAGCAAATAGGCCACAACGGGGACGGCAAAGCAGCAGGACGTTGAGTTCATAATGGATCCTCTCCTTGCTAAGGAAATTGGCACCTGCTCCTCTTCCAACATCACTGGAGCAGATTAATTTCCCTTCTCCTGTGCATCTTTGAGTCTGGAGTTTCTTGCTCCAAGAAAGGAACTTTTTTTTTTTAATCTAACCTTTTGGAGACAAGAATGGAAAGAATGTTTCGGCATGGAGAAGTATAGACAGGAGGGTGAGTGAATGGAAGGAAATGCTTAGGATTATCAAATAGCCCTGTTTGGCTGGAAGTTCAGATCAGGGACAGGAAACAGGGGGAGTGAGGGGAGAGGATGGAGAGGGTGCAGGGCTTGATGAAGAAAGGCCTGACTGCCTCCTCAGGGATTGTGGACGCTGTTCTTTTGACAAAGGAGCAACACTGAATGCTTTTAACCATAGAAGTAATATACCAAGTTTATATCCTGGAAGATTCATTCTGGCTGCATTGTTTTAAGAATGGATTTAAAGGAGGCAAGATTGGACCTAGAATTAATTCTGAAACCTTTGTGGTGGACGAAGACGACGTTGAGACTGATGATAGGATGTTAGTTATGGTGTTAATCATGGTCCGTTCATTATGATTTAGTGCTCACCACAATGTGGGATAGAAAATGTGATTTCCCTGCTGTGTGGATGGAGACTTAGAGATCACACAAAAGGAAGCAGAACTGGGACTCCATCCCAGTGGGTCCGACTGTAGACAGAAGAGAATCTATTCTAGCGGAGTCTACTCTGGAGTTCAAGCATCAGTTTTGAATTAAGCTGGTCTGGTAGATCAGAGACAACCAGATCAGAAAAGGGCTTCTTCATTGGATTATTTTATTTCATCTATTGACTCTTTCCAACTTCAATTAGCTTGAAACATAGCACAGCCTTTACAAGGATGTTGTAGCAATGAGTGAGATAATTTGCTTGACACTAAGACTTTCCTTATCCATTGCTGGGAGGTTTCCTGTGGAGTTGTAAAAGGGATGAAAATTTAATCCCGCGGTTATGAAGATTTTCAAATGAAGAGAGTTCTTCCTCATATTTATAGAGACTTATGGAAAGTATTGTCCCAGATACACTCATAAATCCTTGAAGGTCAAATTAAACTTAAAAGTAGGGCCAGTATTCCCCCAATACATGAAATTTGATGTTTTTTATTTCCATAAAACAATTAGTGCCCGTCATTGAATCTATTCGTGAAAAATGTCTGCTGCACATTAGGCTCAGAAAGAGTCATATTTTAGATTATATCATGAGAAGACCATTTAGCCATCCAGTTTCACATAAATGGAATTGTTTTTAACCTTTTAACAGCTCTACATTTTTGTTTCTTAAGATAAACTCAAGGACTAGATGAATTTTTCAGGCACCTTGTGAGAAGCTAACTTGCTCTTTCTCTCCTTCTTTCCTCTCCCCACTCCATTCTTTTGTCTCTCCCTTTTCTTGCCTTCCCTTCCCTATTCCTGCCTCTCTCTCTCTCTCCTCCTTTCCACCTCCCCTCCTCTCCCTTGCTTTCTATGTAAGCAGTAACTAAAAGCCAGACAAACCCACTGAAGGGAGAAACCAGATCTTCTCTCTTCCTCCTTACCCTGTGAAATCTGCACATCGTTGACAGAAGGTTGATTTAAAATTACACTAATTGACAGTGAAAGACTTCATATAATCCTGTTTATATGACCTCCAATAATGTTGAGAGATCAAATAAAAATCCTACCCTGGCAATTTTCAGAAGCCGTCACAGACTATAACAGAAGTGATTTAGATGAATGAACTTAACACTTTCCACAAAATGTGAATTTGCATTTTACACCAAGCCCATCAGTCACCAGGCCTGCTCCAAAAGACAACTTCTGTGGGGACCAAGTACCTGCATATTATCAGGAATCATTGTATTTACATCCTTACCTAAATGTGGTAATAAGCTGTGCCTAAAACCCAGTCACAATCACATTGGGACCAGGAATACATTACTCCAGACATTCCCAGCCCTGCTAACTGACTGCTCAATGAGCAACTTGAAAATGCCCCTCATTTGGAGAAAATTTCAACAGGGTGTGTCCTCTGTGTCATCAAACCAATCTCAGTTATAACTTCCAGGCTGCAGGCACCATGGTCTCCTTCCCTGATCCTGGCTCCCTGTGGCTGCAAGGAAGCAAGTTTGATGGTTTTCCTCCACTGCCACGTGCTCAGGGCCTCCTCAGGTGCTTGTTCTGCACCAGTGGTCTGCACGGAGAGCAAACACAAAGACACAGCTTTGCAAGCTTATTTAATCTAGAATCTAACTTTCTTGTTGAGTTTGAGTTGAGGAGGAAAAAGCAGGGAACTGGCTGTTCCCTGTAAGAAAGAGGCAGGTTGATGCAGAAAGACTCAGAATCAGAGCTGGAGTAAGAAAATCCAGATGGAAATGAAGACTGCCTCACAGCCCTTTCTTCTGTGAATGGGGAGATCAGGATACTGGAACAGAGTCAGTGAGACTGTGGTGGAGGGTGGAGAGGGGCTCAACCCACGGACCCCAAGCACATGAGACTGAGGTGAGAATACTGGATGGACGGCTGTTACGAAAGCTTTCAAGGCTTGCTGATTCCCTGGGCTCTGAAGGTCTGCCACGGAGTGTGCTCCATCCTGGAGGCAAGGAAAACCCAATGGCATCAGGTAAGGAGCACTTTTCTACCAAGAATGAGGCTCTGGTGTGCCAGGATAAACAGTGATAGGAAGGAAAAGCCACAAAGGAGCCAGTGAGGTAAGAAAGCATGGGAGCCAGTGAGGTAGATGGCAGAGGGCTGGAGCCAAGGTAGGGTATGCGTCATACCGAGGGTGGAAGAAGAGAAAGATGGGGAGTGGGAGTCCATGCCTGGAATAATAGTGACCTCACAGTCTTATGGGGCGATCATGGGAATAGCAGGTGGCAACCTGAGAGATAATACTAGAAAAATGTCTCGAGCTCAGTAAGTACTTAAGAAATAAGAGCATTTATAAAATGAGAATTACCCTCACTTGCTGTTTTTTTTTCCTCAAGAATTAAAAAAAAAATAAAAAGACAATAGATACACATCTGCAGCCAGATTATATGGAACACAGTTAAATTCTTGCCAAACACTTCAGAATCAGAGGATGCCTTTTATCAGGGTTGATGTTGGCTGTCAGTGCTCAGTACTATAGAAATGAGTTTTGATTATAAGAATCCATAGATGGTATAGATTCTGAATAACTAAAAAAAATGTGCCATTTATGATTGTTACTATTCCATGGATGCTTTCTATATTAATCAGAGTAAAGATGAGCTGCTGCTATAACAAACAACCCTGTAAATTATATTTTAACACAGGAAGGTTTTTCTCTTAAAGAATTCAAAGTGGATAGTATTGATTGGTCAGCTCTTTTCAAATAGCAATTCAAGGACATAACCTCCTGTGACACTGCCATCTACAGAGTGGCACCATTGTCTAGAAGGAATGGAAATACAATGTTTCACAAGCAACTACTGGGATTGGGCACTGTGTAGTCAGCTTTTTGTTGTTGTGACAATACTTCAAACACTAACAATTTAAAGGAAGAAGAGAATATTTTGGTTTATAGTTTTGGAGTTTCAACGTGTGTTCAGTTGGCTTCATTGCTCTGGGCTTGGGGCATGGTGGGGAAAATCTGCTCAGCTCATGCCAGCTGCGAAGCAGAGAGGGGAAAGCTGGGGACAAGAAACACCCTTCCCGGGCACGTCCCCAGTGACCTACTTTGTGCAACCTTGCCCTGCTGCCTACACTTTCCACCATCTCGCAGGACTCCATTCAGCCACCGATGGGTTAATCCACCAAGGAGGTCAGAGCTCTCAGGATCCAATCACTTCCCACAAGCTCTAGTTCTGAACATTGTCACACTGAGGAACAAACCTTTAACACCCAAGTCTTAGGGGACATTCCAGATTCATACCAAAGAGACACATTCTTCTGCCTACATTCCATTGACCACATTAGTCATGTGGCCCAACCCAGGTGCAAAAGAGCTTGAAAACAGTTGCCCTCAATATCCACAAGGAAGTAAAATATCTGGTGAACACACAGGAACATGATTTATGTGTACAGACATTACAGGCATTATCTCATTTAAATCTGTGAGGTAGGGATTATTACTATGTTCAATTATTTCCTTGGAGGAGACAGTATCAAGGGTCATAGATCTAGTGAGTGTCATTCAGAGACTCCATTAGAGGTTTGTAGGATCATAAGTCTTTTTGACTTACTAATGATCCAAATGGTCATTAATCATCTCTTTATCCTGCCCCTGAGCAAGAAGGTATGGCATCAGGAAGGGGCTAGACAGAGTGGAGTCTGGTTACCTGGGGCATCTGTTCCACTGCAGCTAAGTGAATTTGGGAAGTTACTTCTCATCCTGCTGTGTCAATTTTCCCTTGAGAAAGGGAAACTGTTTGATTATGAAGTTCCTTTCTAGCTTGAAAATCCATTTAATTTTATTGTTTTTACATTTTTTAAAGTTTGTCTATCGGAGGATTACCTCTGTGTCCTTTTTAATGGTCCTGACAGAAGGTAGAGGATATTGGGGAAGTGCTCTGTTGGAATCATATCCATACGGAGTGCTCCGCACCTCCTCGGTTCTCTCAGTCTCTGTTCCCCTTGAAGGATTTTCCATCTGTTAGCAGACCCCACTGTCAAAGCAGCTGATTCCTGCTGGTTTAGGAAAGCATCCAGCATGGCTTGTGTTCAACAGCCTCTTGTCTCTTTTCCGGAGCACCCTGGGAATGTAACCTGCCAAATCACTTTCACCCTAAACTCGGCATGAAATGCGCCCGTCTGGGCTTCGGAGCAGCTTAGCTAATAAAGCAGGAGATTGCTGAGGAAAAGCGGATATTTGTGCTGTTTGGGAATTCCGTGTGCCAAGAGCCCGCCCCTCCTGGCTTCCCTGGGGAAGCTGAGGTTTTCAGGTCTAATGTCAAGCCTGCAAGCCTGGCCCTCAGCCAGCTTCCTGAAAGGGGATGAAAGTCCTCATCAGAGTCCCCCCTTCCTTTCCCTTTTCTTTCTCTGTCTGATTGAAGCAGAACTAGCCTTTTTTTTTTCTCCTGCCAGAAACAGGAGGCTGTGTTCTGTTCACAGGAATGAAGAACAGTGGCAAAAAATGATGTTAAACATGATAAAATGTTGCCAGGACAAGATGGTGATTTTTGCAAGCCTGTGACATGGGAAATCTGGGCCTGAGATGGGTGAAAAATTTTCAGGATGCACTTTTTACCCGTTTTTTTTTTTTTTTTCTGAATAAATCAAGTGTTGCTGGTGCTAAGGGTGGATGGGAGATAAAATAGAACCAGCCAGCGAAAGAAATGGTGGGTCACACTTTTTGCTAAAGCCCAGGGTGGTCTAACTCATTCATTCTTTCACTTATGCACTTACTCATCCATTCATTTCCTTCCAAGCATTTTTATGGAGCACCTCTGCTGTATCAGTCATTTGTGGTTGGCAATGGGACAAGAGTCCCCCAATGCTCTATTTCTATTCTTGTCCCTCTTTACCCTTAAATCTAGATGCCCCTCCCCCCATAAATGTCAGGACAACCTTTCAAAACATAAATCAAATAAAGTTACTTCCCCACTAAGAGCCTTTCGATAACTATGTCTTTGTTTTCCGTTGCTACAACAGAAAACCTGAGACTGAGTAACTCATAAGGAAAAGAAGCACATTTAGCTCACAGTTCTGGAAGCTGAGAAGTCCAAGAGAATGGCACCAGCACCTTCCTGGCCTCTGGTGAGGACTGCAGTACAACATGGCAGAACAGCCAAAGGTCCAGTGGATGTATGCAGAAGAGACAGGACACTAGGGACCCATTTGCTTTATAACGACTCACTCTGGAGGTAACTAATCCAGTCCCACAAGAGTGAGGGTCACTTGCTTTCCTGAATTAACTCAGTCCTGCGAGAGTGGCATGAGTCTCCTCATTAGGGCAGAACCCTCATGATTCAAATTCCTCCTGCAGATCCCACCACCTCTCACCACCATTTCACTGGGGACTAAATTTTAAATTTTGGAGGGGAAAGACAATATCTAAACCATAACAAACTTCTTATTGCTTTTAGACTAACCAAAACTCTGGACTACCTGTGACCTGCGGGCTCCCTCCTGTCTTGCCTGGCCCATGTCTCTTCTGTACTCTGCTCAACTGTTTCTAGCTGTTTCTTACCGTTCCCACCATACTGGCCTCTGCCCATTTTCTTGTCGACATCAAGCCATTTTCATAGCCAGAATTTTGTGCTTGCTTCTCTTGGCCTAGTCTACTGTGGGTCTGGATCGATCTCTCCCTTTAGGTCTCAGCTTAAATTCAGCCTCCTCTGAGAGCACTTTTTGATCACTTATCTGAGTTGGTTGTCACTGCCCTTCGTCCACTACTCTATCTCCAATACGCTTTCCTTCCTAGGTGATATGGTGATCTGTAATATTTTGCTTTCAGGGTCATTGACTATCTTCTTGTTGTGCCTTAGATCTGGAGTGGGCCCCCAAAAGACCATGTGTTGAGAACATGATCCTCAGTGCAGCAAGGTTCAGAGGTAGGGATTTTAGGCAGTGATTGGATCACGAGGGCTCTAACCTTACCAGTGGATTAATCCATTGATTGATTAATAATTTGAATGGATTTACTGGGAGTTGGTGAAAACTATATGCAACTGGGGCATGGCTGGAGGAGATGAGACACTGGGGACGTACACTTGTGGATTATGTCTTCCCTTCTCTCTCTCTGTCTCCATCTCTCTGGCTCGCTCTCTCTTTCTTTCTCCCTCCCCCTTCCTGGCTATTGTGAGCTGAGCAGATTTCCTCCACCATGATGTTTCTGTCTTGGAACCTGCTGACCACAGACTGAACCTCTGAAACAGTGAGCCAAAATAAACCTGCCCTTCTCTAAGATGTTCTTGTCAGGTATTTTGGTCACAGTGACACAAAGCTGCCTAACACCCTAGAGTGGATGCTGTTTAGTTTCTCACTGATGAATAGGGTGACAAAGTAGGTCTAGATAAAGCCTGTCCATACTGCTGCCTGTCCACTGGGAAGACAGATGTGCTAGGTCATGACCCAGAAGGAGTCAGGGTGCTAAGGCAGAAGTGCTTGGGTGGTCAGGAGGCTTCATGAATAAGGCAAATTCTGACCTGGGTCCTGAACAGGGTTCACAGATGGGGGACATGGATTGATAATGAAGGGATCATTTTATGTGGGAGAGGTGGATTGGCAAGCAGCCCTGGGCAGAGCTGACAGTGTTTGCATGATAGAAGGTGGAGAGGTTGTCAATCATCGCAAGGCCTTGAGTCTAGTGAGAAAGCATATTCCTCCCTCTGCTGACTCTGAGCAAGAGAGTGGTGCTTCTGCGAAGTTGTCGCCTACGTGGGCTTTTGAGGAGGAAGCATCATCCATTTACCTACAGTGAATTCCTGTTCTCAACATCATCCCCAATCTGTCCTTCAGATGACCTCAAACCTGTCTGTGTGTGGCTCAGATGTCTTCCAACAACTTGGAAGAAAAAAGACAAAAAAGAAACGACCTTGTTATTTTATCCCTTGATAATGGCATTCAAATATACCGTTTTGAAGAAGAAGGAAACTGTCATCAATATTTGATTAAGGGCTGCTTGAAGTGGCAGGATGGTGGCATGAGCCTGGAGAAAGCCAGGAGTTAGTCTGCTGCCACAGATGAAAGGCTGGTGTGAGCTGCAGCGTGAGCAGGGTCTTCGCTGCCTGGGACCTGCCCTTGTTCCTGGAGGAAGACTACAGCTGAGAGAATAAAATAGTGAACTGCAAAGTCAAAATGGAGTTCCTGCGATTTTATTTGGTATCATTGTCCGTTTTTGCTGATTGGTGGGATTCTGCTCTTTATTAAGGCCATTTAGTGAAACAAGTGTGTTTCCTGGTTGTAAGTAGAGAGGTTGGTCAGGGAGGACCAGGGAGAGCCAACAATGGCTATGGGCATTTATTTTGGTCAGACGGACCTGGGCTGGCTTCTTGGTTCTGTCCCATTTCTGAGTTATATAATTTTGGCCAAATTATGTAACTTTGCTGAGCTCTGCTCTGTTCTGTGTAGAACTGGAGTAATAATTATCATCACAGAGAATTATTCTAAATGCTAAAGAGATAATGCATACAAGATGCTGAGGATCACATCTGAAATATGGTACACATCAGTATAGATTGGTGCATTATGAGTATTATTTACTACTCCCACTCCCACTAGAATGATTTCTGCATGTATTTATTAGACTATAAACTGTGGGTAGGAAGACTTCATGCTAATTTTTTTAATGTCCCATAGAAATGCAATGACTAGCATATAAATAGCCCTTGATAAATATTTAGAGAATAATTTTTAAATAAATACATTATTTTAGTTGAGTACTTTCTTAATAACTAATTATTATTAAATTATGTGTTCAAGAATCATTGGACTCAATTCTTTTTTTTTCCCTTTTGAACCCATTTTCTATGGATCTCAGCCAACATCTGGGGATGAGGATAGAAATAAGAAAGCAGTCTTTTTATGTGATTCAGGACAGGGGCTTTGAAACCAGGGAGAGCTGGAGTCAGGTCCCTGCTATGTGGCTTCCCAGCCTCGGGCTTTTCATCTGTATAATGGGGATAGCACTTAGAGTAATAATAATTATAACAAGGATAGGCTGGGTCACTAAGCACTCATCTATATTGCTTCATGATTCTCACCTTGAGGGAAGTGTCACGATCACATGTAAGACAGGATCGGCACACCGGTCTCACATGTGGTAGTGAGTGAGGCAAAGCCAGATGAGATCCATCCTGGACTAATGTCAGTTCGCTCCATCTCCTTGTCCCCTCCTCCATTTAGCTGGACACCGAGGTGCAGACAGGTTCTGCTCACGTGGCTGAGAGGGGCAGGACCAAGCTTCCAAGTTCATCAGGTGACTCCTCCACCTGTGTCCTTCGCTCTGGGTCCTAAAGCTTCTGTCAGAGGCTTCTTCCTCTCTCCTCAGCTCAGAGTCACTGTCACCTAGCTGTTTGAAGGTCATGCAGCTTGAGTTAGCCAGTCAAGTGCCTGCTCTCAGGGCAATGGTCCAGGTGACAGAGATCAGTGCCACACGTGGCCAGGACACAAAGACTACCCAGGCCAGCCGGTTCTGTGCTTAGGTCCTGTGCTATGCCCTGGGCATATCATTGCATTCATGAAAGAGCTGGCACTGCCCGGCTGGCAGCCTCCCGGTGGAGCAATGGCTTTGGGGGCATGGTCTCAGGTCATGTTGCTGCTGCCTTGCCTCATTTTTATGGCTATTGGTGGAGCATTGCTGAGCTGAGTCATGTCCCACGCAGGCTTCTTTTGTGTCACTGCCAGAGAGGCGGTCTCTGCTTTTCTGATGCAAGGAGCAGCAAGGCTCCATCTCTGCCACAATGTCACCTTGCTAGCTGGCTCTGTTCACAAAGTTCAATAAACCAGAGTACCTTGGTGGGGAGGAACTGAGACTTTAGACTCCATGATAACACCTTGGTCCTCCAGGTAATGGCCAAATCACTCGCATGAGCAGGCAGAGCCAAGCTGCCTCCTCTGGACTCCACCTCCCTACCTTCTCATCCCATTGCCACTGCTCTCTTATGAGCCTGGGTAACCTCGTCTCAAGGCAGAGCTTTGACTCTCTACCTTAAAATGTCTTTTCTGCATCTGTAACAGGGTCCCTAATCCTGCCCAACTCACTGTCCTGGTGGGGCCCTGAGATCTCCGACAGAAGAGGGCAGCTGCCCCCATCCTGCTTGCTTTCCACCCCAGGTTGTGTTGGGCTGCTCCACTGTGCACTAGCCCTCTAGTAACTTCCCCGCCCTGGAACCCTTCATTTTAATTATGTGATTAATGATGCCTATCATTTAATATCTGTCGTGCCTACCAGAACAGGGGATCGACACGTGTTGGGAAAATGTCAAGTTTATTCACCACTCGATTTGGGCTTTCTAGTGGGGACTCTGGAAACCAATTAGACACTCATTTAATACTTGTTGAATGATTAAACCGTATACTATTTGAACAAATTTCCAATTGGTTTTCACCTGTCCCTTGCAATCACTTTTTGCCCCTCTACAAACAACACAGCTTAGAGGTGCTAAATTAATCTTTGTGTGTGCAAATCCAGCCTTTTATTCATTTTCTTAAAGCCCTGCTCTTCTTGTTAATCAAAGATTGACATAGCTCCTCCTCCTCAGTCCCTGGTCATTTCTCTTTGCGATTCACTGTCTTATCTTCTGATTATATTTAGGTGGCCTCAAGATACCCTGCCACTTAGAGTGTCTTTGTCTTCTCACATGAGATCCTTCTTGCATGAAATGTCCTATTCCCTTTTGCTCTGCTTGGAGAATGCTACGTTTCCCCCTGTAGAAGGACTCCCTGGAACACCCACTTCAGCCACTCTTCCAAGGAGGATTCACCACTCCTCTCTTTGTGTCCCTAGATGGATGCTCCACTTCCTAATTGTCAATTACATATTTGTCTTCCCTCAGGACGGGGCTGGGGTATGTGGTCTTGTGGGTCACTGGCTTCCCATGAAGAAAGCCAGTGGGAGGATTGAAAAGAAGGGGCCAAGGACACGTCTGCACCAGCAACAGTGGCATCTTTAATCCAGGGCAAATGCAGGGCACGTTGCATCTGTCAGGACACCTGCAGCAGCAGTGACTGAGGCTGTGTCCTGAAATAGACTGCACACCAGGTGAGTGCGGGTGCCCAGCGTCCCTGCACCGAGGCCTGGCACGCAGCCCAGAGTCAGGCGCAGATCCAAATTAGGCTTGAATCCCCTCTGTAAGCAAACAGCAGGGCAGAGAAGAGAAGCGCCTGCTAATTTTGTGTGGATCAATGCTTTCTGTGATGG